CTGGTCTAGTGGAAGGTGTCCCTGCTGATGGCAGGGGGGTTGGAACTGGATGAGCTTTAAGGGCCCTTCCAACCCAAACCAGTCTGGGATTCTATGGCAAGAGGAAAAGGCCCAGTTGGCGCCGAGTTTAAACTGTGCTCAGCTGGTGCTCACAGGGGGGAGGAAAAACACTCAACAGCGTAACGAGCATCAGCACCACAGCTCTCCGGGATGCCCACCCAGCTCCCCACCACCAGCACCTGCTGGTACCCCACCTCCCATCACCCAAAATCCCCACCAATGAAACCAGGAGTCCCAGCACTTACCCCAGTGCCACCCTAAAGCCAGATTTATGGGACTGGCAGGATAAAAATCCCAAAAGAGATGCCAAAGGCAGCATCCTTCCCTGCCCCACACGCTCCATCCCAGGCAGTCCCGAGGCAGGAGGGGGATGCAGGAGTCCCAGCTGCCCCATCAAACCCTCCCCATCACCAAAGACGAGGGGATTATTAATATCCCGTCCATTTTAATAAGGGCAGAAGCTGTAAGTAACAAAACTGGGCCGTTTATTCAAGTCTGCCATTGTTTTCCTGACAGCAGACGCTTAATTATTAATAGCTTTCACCGCCAGTTAATTTAAATGAATTCACATCTTTTCCTCCCATTGGTTCCTAGTGAGCTGGCACCAAAAAAAGCCTAATAAAGGCAGAGGGAGATCATGGGGGGCACCCATCTGTCCCCCCCAGCAGGTGGGAGTTGCTCCTGGGGTGACCCCAAAATGCCTGAGGGGATCCCAAGACACCCAGGGGGTCAGAGCATCAGCTGAGGAGATGATTTGGGTACCACATCGTGTGCATCCTCCAGAGATGGGAGCTGGGGCAGGGGAAAGAAATCACCAAAAAAGCAAAATTGTCACCATGTCACCAATTCACGTGGCCACCCAGTGCTCCCAGTCTGATATTCAGGGTGAAGTGTTGGGTTCGTAGTTGGACTCTATGATCTTAAAGGTCTTTTCCAGCCAAAATGATTTGATGATGTGATGATTGATGAATAACAATTTATTTTCTTGGAGTCAAGCACAGCCACATTTCACAGACAGAGGGGAAGGCACTAGATCCATAATTCCTCCTGATTTTTTGTTGTGGGTTTTTTTTTTTTCCTCTCATTTCCCCCCAGCACAATTATTTCTGCACTAACGAGATCAGCTCCGTTTGGTCCAGGCAACAGCAGGAGAGACTGAACATTAACCCACCCCGTGCCAGGGGACATCTCCCAAAAGCCACCTCCACACACTCAATCCTTCGGGCTCCTTCTCGTTCAGGAACACAGACCCTTCTTCCTCCCCTCCCTTTAAAAAACAAAAAGCCAGAGGATGAAAATAGAGACCAAGACTAAAATTAAACCACTGACAAGTTATTTTAGAAGATGGAGAATGTCCATTAATGTCATTTGGGACCAGGGACACCATCGGGTGACAATCCACCCACCCATCGCTCATCCAGCCGGGTTTCATTAGATGCTATTTTCCCCCCCCTTAATTTTCTTCCCGGTGTTGCTGCATCAGAAAAACCCAGCTCCTACCACTTGTTTTTGTGCTAATTATATCCTCCTCGCCCAGAAATGCCTGGTTCCAGCTTCAAGGCCAGGATTTGAGTTGTTTTGGGGGGGTTTTTTTGGTGAGTTGTTGTTTTTTTTCTTAAGGCAGGAGAAGCAGAGGTCCTTGTCCCTGTATTGGGGTGCTGCATCCTGCATTGGGGTGCTGCATCCTGCACCAGAGCATCCCCTGGCACGGATGAGGTGCTTGCAGAGAGTTGGTTGGGGGGTTACAAACTCCCTTGGCAACCCGTTTGGTTTTTTGCAGGGGATGGTTTTGGTTTTCAATTAGGTGGTTTTTTTTTTTTTTTTGAGTTGTTTTTTTAAATGCACCCCAATATGGCTGGAGGGTTACAAACTCCCTTCAGCAGCCCCTGGGTGGGTTTTATTTGGTTTTTATCATTATTTTTTTTAACAGCAGATGGTTTTGGTTTTCAATTAGGGTTTTTTTTTGGTTGTTTGGGGTTTGGTTTGCTTTGCTTTTTAAATGCACACCAATAAAACAGCAGCACAGCCCCATCTGGGTGCTCCTACCAGTAGCACTGACAGCTCCAGGAGACAGGGGGAGAGCCTGCTGCTGACAAAAGGGTGACAAGGGGGTGACAGCTTGCACACACACACATACTGCCACTACCCACCCCACGGGACACAGTCCCATCACAGGGCACCAGCCTGCTCCTCCCTGGTCTCTTGATCCAGCCAGGATGCTCCAAAGGATGCTCCTGGGGGGCTGCACAGCTCCTCCCAGGGTGACAGAGCAAGGACCTGGGGGACACCAGACCCCTTCCACTTGTCCCCTGTTAATCCATCACCGCTGCCAGGGTCCCCCCTGAGCCTCCACCCCACTGGGTGCTCAGTTTCCATCAGGATCCAGCAGTTTTCCCAGCCAGGACAAGGACAGAGCTGCAGCAAGAGCTCTGCAAACTGCCAAATTCCAGTTTTTAACAAGCTTAGCTTAATTCCTGCCAGCAAAGCCAGGGATGGGGATGGACAGGAGGGGACATCCCAGCCCTGCTGCATCCCAGAGCCAGGTGGGGACAGGCAGGACCATTCCCAGCAGCCAGAGGGTTGATGCACTATCACTATGGGGTTATTTTCCTTTTGAGCCTTGTCCATATGATGGCATTACAGAAAAAAACCCCAAAAATCCAACAAAAAAACACCTCACAGTGGGGAAAATAATTTCCCACAAAATAGGAGCCAGAGAAACAGCCCCAGGACATCCTCCAGTTGAGACTTCAAACCAAAGAACAAGATTCAGGGGCACATCAATACCATGCTTCACTCGTTAAATCCTCCCTCTGATCCTTCAGTTTAAGGTCAGTTTGAATTGAGATGCAGGTCCAGGCGAGCTCTCACCCTCCTTTGTCACCACGAATGACAAATCAGCCTCTCCATGTCCCCCACCCCAGCTGGGCTGCTGGAGTATAATTTAATTTAGTTTTCAGGTTGGTTTTTAGGGAAGAGCCTAAGTGCTCTGTAGAGAAAGAGAAAAGACTCAAAAAGCTCTGAATAATATTTCATTCAAAAAACAAATGAAAAGAGAAACACGTTTCCAGTGATGCTCCCTGAGGAAAAAACATCCATTTGTTACGCAAAAGTCGACGATGAAATTCAAGCTGTAAAATCAGCCCGGAGGGGCTGTGCACAGAAAAACTCACACCCATCCCACAGCCCTCACACAGGGTCTGCAGATGGATTTTCCCCACTTGTAGGATCATCAGCTCTTCCCTGGGATTCAAAATCTTTGAGGATAACTTGGCATCTCCAATAACCTTAGCTATGAATCTGAGAGCAATGAGCTCCAAAGGATTTTCCCCTCCAGCTTCAGGCTGAAGCCCTGCTCACTCGCAGGGAAGGAGCAGTTCTCCCAGTCACACTGCCCTTCCCAAGGATCCTGCCTGCATCCCTCTGGGAACAACCCAAAACCATCCAGCAAGGAGAGGAGGAAAGAACCTGCTCCTCTGTCTCACCAAGTTTTTCCTCCTACATAATCACCAGAGATAAAAACCTCAGCTCTGCCCCATGCTCCAACCTGAACCTGCCCCATCCAAACTCAGGGCTTACCCTGAACACCCTGTTTTATTCAGATACTCCTTAACTAACCTCAACTTGTGTTTAAACCCCAGGAGCTCAAGAAATCAGCCTGATTTCACTCCCCTGCTCCATCCCTGTCTGCTGGACCACCCCACCCCACCCAGTCCCCAGCTCCTCAAACGGCTTTGGGATGTGGCCAAATCCTGCAAGCCCTGGGATGCTGAGCAATGCCAGGTGCTGGGGAGCACAGCACATGCTGTCCCACCTCTCCCCAGCTTCAAAACAGCAGGGCTTCGAGGAGATGAGATATTACAGAGTCTGAAGGCAGATGTGGACCAGTCTGGTGATGCTTAGGGGAGAGCAGGAGGAAAGAGCACCCAAAGCACCCAGGGAGGGTTATTTCGGTGCAGACACCCATGGTGCATTCTCATACCTGCCTTAGCCAGCTCCATACAACTGCTCCTTGAGAAAAAAACAACAATAAAGAGCTAACAAATAATAATAATAATGATTGCAACGTGGGAGAGGAGACCCCATCCGTGGGAGAGGAGACCCCATCCGTGGGAGAGGAGACCCCATCCGTGGGAGAGGAGACCCCATCCGTGGTCTTTAGGTGAACGAGAAACAAGTCAAGAAGGGAGAAGAGGAGGAAAAACAACCCAAACCAAACAAGGAAGCAAAACCATCCGTGGGAGAGGAGACCCCATCCGTGGTCT